ATTTTCTCATAATTTTGGCTACATTTAATGAATTAGAAAAACCTTGCTTATAAATTATATTTGATCTGTACATTGTTTGTGTAGCATTCAGATATATTATCCCAAACCTGCAGTAAACAAAAAATACCCATTTAAGGTTATTTTTGCAGAAACCTTTGCAAATATGCTGTACATTACCCTTCTGAGTATATATATATATATATATATATATATATGTGTGTGTGTGTGTGTGTGTGTGTGTGTGTGTGTAGATATATTCTGCTGCTTAAAATTTTTTTTACTAGTGATTTATTTTAAATTACAATAGAAAGCATTGTGAGGCTTCCATGTGGAAAAAATGGATTAAGCATTTCCAGAAATAAGACGATGTGTAATGAATTCATCTCTCTTGCCAACAACTTTATTTTAATAGGACACCATTACAGATGATGAACCAGTAAACCACCAGCCAGTTCCTTTGAAGTGGACCCCTGCTTCTCCTTCTAAGACTTCAGGAGCGTGCCACTGGCCACCTAAAGCCTTGAACCCTATTTGGCAATTCAGGCACATTGCTTCCTTGGCTGTCAGGCCTGCTGACTTCCTTGTACTAATTACAAAAATCCACTGCCCAAGAGAAGTACACAGCTGAAGAGCATCATCATGTCTCAGAACACTGGCGTGTGTGTCCCCATTACTAATGCACCAAGCATGAAGCTTGGAAAGGTCCCCTGTCATCTGGAAATTGGGGGGCATCATCCCAAGACATAAATATCTCTTAACAAAGCACCAGCTGAGTTGTGTCAGGGCTGCACACTTCCTTGTCTTTCCCATACAGCTTTCAATTTGCTTTCCAAACATTTCTTTGTTGCATTTGGCTAGGGCACGCTTTAAAAGAAGCACATCGTTAACCACAAAGAATGCTCACTGTTTTCTGTGATTTCAAACCAGCTCTAAGCACTTTCTCAGTGAGCTGCCCGGCAGCAATTACCCTGCTGCTGAAGATACTTCTAGGCTCAGAAAGGCTTCAGTTTCTGAGACAGCCGACAAGCAGGACTCTAACAAATGATGACATATGTTTGGGTCGCCTTTCACTAGATGCCTGCCCCTGGAGGAAGGGTGAATCCATTTTTGTGCAAATTCCACAGGCGCATCTGACAATGCCGCCCTCTTCTCTCATTGACACAAACTGGGCATTCATTCATTCGGTGGATTACTCGCCTCAAATGGGCACTCACAGTTGCTAAATGCTGTGTCAAAAAAGGGCAAAGAACAAGGAGAGGACAGGAATCCATCAGGGAAATGAGAGTTGAACTGATTTCACTGTGACAAAACCGTGAGGTTTCGAAAAGCTAACAGTAAAGGATAAACTGCTTCCCGCCTCCAGCCCTGGTCCTTCTGTGAAAGACAGGGTAGTAACTGACCTCCTAGCATCCAGAGGGGACATTTTCACAAGTGTAAGCTGCTCCAGAATGACAGGGCCCATAGACTGCACGTCTACTGGCTCCACTTCACCACAAGAGCATCTCCGTCTTTTCTTTCCTGCCTGGATAGTACCTGGTCGTGCAGGCTTTGCGGGGGGGAGGGGGGGGATCTCTGGGCAAGCTACAAACTGGGCTCAGCAAATTTTCACAATGACAGCTATAGTTTTAAGACCAGCTTTTAACTCTTAAGCCTACATACAAATGTCACACTGCCCTCTGTAGGTACTCTTCTGGGTCTAAGTCTGATTAGGGATGGCCAACTGCAGACCTTAGGAGTGGACACAGTTCAGAGCTCTCACTCCAGAGAGGGGATGAGGGGAGGGAAAACAGGAGGGTGGTTAGGGCCTGGGCCATAATTGCACCACAAGACTGGCTGAGGATCCAGCCAATAGCCAGTCAGATACCCAGGCGAGCAAGCATACACCTTGGAGCTGGCACCAAGCAGAGCAGAAAGGGCTGTCCTCAACAAATCCTGCTCCTATTACAGATTTTTGCACAAAATAAGGGTTACTGTGTTAAAGTGTTATGTGCTGGGGCAGTTTGTTACTCAATGATGGTTGATAGACAAAGTAATGAGCAAGGCACCTTGATGCTAAATCTGATCTAAAGAGAAAATGGGACTTGCCTCTTGGCTTTCACTGATTTTCATAATTTTGGCTTATTTTTCATTAGTCTTGGTTTTTTCTTCTTGGTTTCCGATTGTGACATCTTACGATCTGTTTCAAGTGAAATTGCACGTGTGTGTGCAGTTCAGGCACACCTCAATTGTTGCCAGTATTTAGTAACTATAAGTTTGTTTCACACACATACCAACAACAAGCACAACAGAATAAAAACTTCTGCCTTCCCTGGCACACAAGACAAAAGACAGGGCCGGCGATGCTGTATTTGCCTTCCACTCTAACAATAATTCTCAAGCAATTCAAGCCCTCCACACTCTGTTGCATCCTGCCATTCCTACCCATCCCAGATCACTCTTAGATTTCCTTCCTGACCTTTACAGTCCTTCTGCTTTGTGGCAACTATGTAGCCAGCAGTTCTCTACCTGGTTAATTAGAATTTACTCTGAAGTAGCCCCTGTGGGAAAGAAGAGTTTGAGGTAATTTGAAAAATAAAATCAGAATCATAAAAACTTCAAGTTTAAAATGAAATTCAAAAAGATCAAATAAAGTACATAGGGCAAAGCCACCAAATGCAGTGAGAGGGCTGTCACCTCAGGTCACAGCCCATAACCTGCCACCACTGTCCACCCCTTGCAGGCTCCTGCACTGGCATGAATACTCTAGGACTCACCACTTTTTGCAAAAGTGTGTTATCACTGGGAGCAAAGTTACACAAAGTCCAAAGTCTACAAATAAAAATCACAAAAACTACATTTACAATCCTACTTACTTTTATATAGTTGATTAAAACACCCTTATCATACTAGTGTATAAAGACTCTCAAATAGTTTCTGAAGAGAGTTCAATTTCAAGCACACAGTGGGCAAAAGAATCTCCAAACCTGGATGATCCTGGTGAAACTGAAACCTATCTTTTTTTTATTACATCATTTGGTGTCCTTTCTTAATATTAAAGAAATTTTAAGTAAATTTTCAGTCCACTTAACTGATTAGTGTCATTCTATATGTCCTAAAATGAAGGACATGTTTCAGGAAATGAAATGGTAAAGTATGTCAGCCAGAGTAAATGATTAACCCTTACATATCAAAAGGATTATATCTTGGAAGGAGTAGAAAATGTCAGAGAAATCCCATTTCTTGCTTATTGAATATGAAAATATCCATTTCTAATTTATCTTACAGTACTATCTATTTACTACTTTGGGAAATCCCAATTTAAAAAGCACTCAAGCCTTTTGTGGTTTCTATAAAGAACCACCAATAATGGGAAAATCTTCTATAATATAATAGAGTCTATTTACAACACAGTGTATAGGTCCTGCTAGGGTAAATGGAATCATGATTCTACTCAATTTTTCAATGGATATCCAGTTGGATAGGCTTTCTGGAAATGCTACTCTTTTGACAAAATTAATAAACATTAACTTTCAATCTGTTCCCTGCTATGTAATAGTACCATGGTAAGATTTGTCATGTTCTTCTCTACAAAACATACACGAATAACTGAAGAATATATTACACTCCTCACTCTACAAAAATATATATAAAAAACTAGTTGAACTAGTTGTTTAAATAAGGTTGAACTAGCTGTTTAAATAAGGTATGCTTTATTTTCTATCACAGCAGAGGAAGTCTAGTCAAGCTTGAATTTGGGGTGGAATCCTCACCTAACAAATGTAAAGTCTGAGATGCTACAGTGGCAGAAAAATTATTCATCAGTGAATGTGATCCTCATAAGACTTCACTTTACTGGAGTTAAAACATGCTTATTAAGGAAGGAAATGATTAATTTCCTAAAAAATAGACAACTGGGCAGCTTTGAGCTTTTAGTGAAGACTATTACTTTATTTCTAGCCAAAGTCAATAACTCAGTGCCAGAATCTAGGGTTCAAATGTTAGGACATCACAGTTAGAACATTGTGGAGCTCGAACTTTAAAGTCAGGGATAAAATTACTGAGAAATACACTCTGAAATCCATCGGGAACATTGATTTTAATACTATCAAACCCTTAAGACAACCTCTGGACAACTAGAGTATTCATCTGGACTTTTGGCAGAGGGCAGTATTTCTGAAATAACTTCCATAAGTAACAGGGTATGCTTCCTGGAGATCCAAACGTGGGTCACAGTCACACTTCACAGGACCTCACCACCCAAGTGTTCTGGGTCTCTCTCTCTCTCTCTCTCTCTCTCTCTCTCTCTCTCTCTCTCTTTCTCTCTTTCTCTGTCTCTCCACCCTCATTCTCTGTGTGTCCCCCTCTCGCTCTCCCTTTCTTCGTCTCCTGTGCATAAAAGCATTTATGAATGGACATCAGTACTACTGCAGTCCCCTCAAAGCAAATCGGCAGCAAAGCAAAGCGAATCCACTTTCGTTGTCAATTAAAGCAAACAAGCACGCGCACACACACACACACACACACACACACACACACACACACACACACAATTATTTGCCACTGAATAGGGGATTTCGCCCGGGGGACGTTCACTTAGAAGGTCTCTGAACTGGGGCCCGACCAGCACACTCCCTTGTGCGTCTTAGGGACCCTGATCCACCTCTCTGCGGGATGTCTGACCTCCGCCTCCCAGGGGCTCCGGAAGAGAAGGGACTCTGGAAGACCCCCAAACGCACCAAAGCAGACAGCAGGATGGCGGGGTGCTAAGCTTCCCGCCCCTGCCCCTCCTCTCGCTTGTCCGTTAGCTCTCCGGGCCAGGACCCCTCCTTTCTCGCCAGGGACAGGAGGGCACCGGCAGGTGTTGTCGGTGCAGGACAGCGAGCGGCCGCGGGGACAGAGCGCTCAGCTCCCGGGACGGACCCTCGGGGTGCGCGGCCGGGCGTCCCGGACCCCGGTGGCCGTGACGGCACCGCGGGGACCCAGCGGCCCCAGGCAGCCCAGACACCGCCCATCTCGCTCACCTGGAGGTAGGGCCGCCCGTGGGCCACGCCGCCCACCACGATGTCGGCCGCCGCCATGGTGCCCGCGGGCGAGAAGCCGAAGCCCACGTAGCCGGCCGTGCGCACCTCGAGGCGGAAGGCGAGGCGGCCGCCCCGCGGGCCCCAGCCCAGCCAGTACCTGCCCTCGCCGTCCAGCATCGCGCGGCGGGGGAGGGACCCGAGGGACCCGCCCGAGTCCCCCGCCGCCGCCGCGGGGAGCAGCGCGCACAGCACGAGCAGCGGACACCCGCGCATCCTGGGCCCGCGCGCACCTGGCTGCAGCCCGCGGACTCGGCGGGCGCTGGGCCTGGGACCGCCCCGCCGCCAGGAAGGAGGGAAGGCACCGGGAGGGAGGGGACGACGGGGGTGGGTGGCTGGATCTCCCCGCACGCCGGGTCCGCGGCCTCCAGTCCGCAGCTAGAAATCCACCTGCCGCTCGACCCCCCGCCGCCGTCCCTGGGCTGGGGGTTGGTGGGAGGAAAAGCCAGGAGCACCCTGGAAAGAGACAGAGGAAGAGGCAGAGGCCCAGAAGGGGCGGCCTGGGCCGAGGGGAGGAGCAGGGGCGATTCCTGGGGAAGCCCGGGAAATGGAGGAGTGGAGAAGCTGGTGCGCTGGGAAGTGAAACAGAGGGTCCTCCGGCAGCCCCAGCGTCCCTGTGTCCTGGCTGTGGATTCTCTCGGGCCGTGGTACCCAGCGACGCCCACACCCACGGAAGGACAGATCCACCTACCCGGGGCGCTTCTTTCGGTCTCTGATGCACAGAAGCCCCAAAGCTTTTCCTTCCTGAAGGGAGTCCGCAGAATACTTGCCTTCCACCTGGGCTGGGTTGGGTTCCAGTGGGCAGGATAGAATCTACTGCTTTGCCATCAGGAGTGTAGATCAAGTTTGATTTTCTCATTAAACTCGTCCCCCCCCCCAGTAATAGTATACATTTAGCCGGATGTCTTGGTGCACCCCTGTAATCCCAGCACTGGGAAGGCAGAGGCAGGAGGATCATCGCAAGTTCGAGACCACCCTGGGCTACAAAGTGAGCACATGGCTAGCCTGAACTGCATAAGGGGACCCTGTCTCAAAAAGACGAGTAACAACAACAACAACAATAATAATGGTACACGTTTGCAGTCTGTAATAACTACATTCATCGTGGGGAGTTGCTGCATGTACACATCTTTTCTTCTTCATTACTTTCCCCACCCCATCCCTCACCATTTCTTGGTCACCTTTCCCCTCGTTATCTCTCTCGCTTTTCTTGACGTTTCATGTTCTAGGCATATCTGTGTTTGCTAAAAGTAGGTTTTGTTTAGTTTTTGCTCATACCTTTCAACAAAGCACTTCTGACTTTGTAATGCTCCATATTCAATACCACTTCGTTTATGTGTGCTCTGTATGTTTCCAAAAACATACAAACAAAAAGTTCTCAGGTGGCTCATTAAAATGCAAAAGCAAATGAGAGGAGATCTGGTGAAAAATATTAATCAGAAGATTACAAGTCCGTGCTATTAGTGTGGGCATATGGCTCCACACAATTTACCCCCACTTCTTCACCATCCACAAGTTCTATTACTGCTTTATCTTGCCTCTGACTTCTCTGCCTATAACCTTCTCATAGTTACCAGCATGCACTTGAATGAACTCTTGTCTCCTAAGGATCAAGCTCTCTGGACCACTTCTGGAAAACTACTTAACTTGGATCTGCCCAGTAGGGGATAGGGAGTTACCTGCGGAAGATTTGCCCCAAGGAGAGATTAGCCACTGGGTCCACAGATTAGCCAGTGACAGCTGGTCAACATCAGAAAAGAATGGTGTTGAAATCTTGGAACAAGGTGAGAAATAAAACAGCCTGCAACACCTTAAAAGTACCAAGGCACTGAGAATAGAAATAGCAGTGCCAGGTGCCTGAGTTCCCAGCAGGACTCAGTGAGAGATGCAGGGACAGCAATTTTCACAAAGCAGTCTTAGCCCTGGGTGTCTCCAGGCACCAGGAACTTTGCTCCTACTTGGTTTAGCCAGGCAGAACTGGGATATACAGAGAGAGGAACAAAAGGACGAACTCTAGGCCAAGAGTATGGCTGTGCACTTTGCACTTTGTGCTGTCCTGAATAGCGTTTTGCTGTACAGGGCAGAGACACTGGACATTTAGAGTATCACAACTGTAGAAGACAAACCTGACTTGTGAGCCTTCTTTTATTCCTAGTTTCAGGGGGGCTTGGAAGCAGCACATTTCTATTATCTGCTTCCTAGGGTTCCTAATATAGATCCCCTATTCACATCTAACGGAACATTTTCTATCTTGTTATGAAAATGAAATGATGCCAGACCTTCTTGTCAGCCGTTTGCCGCTCCATCACTCTGGTCTTGCTCCCCCATGAACCTTTAAGGCACTGAACTCCGGTAGGACCCTCAGTGGGGCGCTGTGCAGCTTCTTCCTATCACAGTGCCTCTCACAGTGCTTGCTGCACTTCATCTGCCTTTTCTCCTCTTTGTCCTTTGCAGGATTTTCTGATCTTCCTCCACACTTCATGGTCAGGTGACACCAGTCCCTTCTTGGTGATGCAGTGGTGCCAGAAATGTCCTGTCCAAACGACACGTGGTGCCAGGGACACTGGAGTGCACATGTGTCCTATCTCCCTGTTTCCTTCTAGTGGCTTCTTTAGGTCAGCAACTACATAGAGATGCTCATCCTTGACCCACTGCCTGGAATATGCCAGACACAAAACAAGTGCTTAGTAAATATTTCTAGAAAGGCTGAGTGGATGGCATTCTGATCCCAGTGGAAGCCCCTCTTAACAGAACTGAACCTCAGAGGAAAGCAAGAGCCCTAGACATGTTGGAGTCCTCTGCTTGCTTTGGTTTTGAGGCAAAAGTAGAAAAGACCACACACACAACTTCAGAAAAGAGAAATTCTTAGAATGTTTTTCATTATTTCATTAAGATCATGGAGTGTAAAGTTATTTCTTTTGTTGTGACTGGCATTACTTCTAAAGCTCTTAGGACTCAAGAAACATTAATACTAATGTATTCATGTTGAGATTAGATCAACAAGCAGAACATTATTAGCATAATTATTACTCAAGAGAGCTACTCTCTTAACCCAGTAACTTAAGACAAAAGAGAAACTGGTCTCTATGTGCACTTTGTAAGCATTTGAGTTCCCTGGATCAAAAGTAACTCCATGACTTCAAGTGCATGCAGGACTCAGTTACCCTCTTTGGAAACCAGGTACGCATTCGCCGCTTATCTTAAATTTGTAAGCGACACAGGAATGGGGCTGGGAATGTGGTCACTTAGCACAGAGAAGCCCTAGAATGGACTCCTGCGCTGCCCAGAAAAGTGGAGGGAGTGAGGGAGAAAGGGAAAAAAAGCACAAGCCCACTAAAAACTCAGGATTTAACACAGAGAAGAGAATGAAATCAATGATAGCAATTTTAAAAATTATTTCTGTAATTGTTTTTGTAAAATGGAACTGGTTTATTTAAAGAAAAAACTCAGGAAGTGCAGAGAAATATGAATGAGAGTAAAATAAAAAATATCACCTGAAATTCCACTATCCAAAAATAACTCTTGCATGCATTCCTGGAACATCATTGCAGAACCCAGTTCCACTTAAGTGTTAGAGGAATAGCTGTTGGGCAAGAATTTGCAAAGTAATAAATGAATTAGTTTTCTAAGACTCCACTTGAAATAAACAGAGTGACTCTACACATGCGAGTTACAATTACATCTCCTAGGCTTTTCTTCTTGCTTTGCATCCTGGGGACATATGAATAAACAGAAGAAACAAAATGAAATTAGAGATGCAGTGAGATCTTAAGTTCAAGGCTCTCCTCTAAATTACTCATTCCTAAAGTAAGTCATTTTCTCACACTTTTCAATTAGGAATTTACAATGTCATACTTACTTTGATTCCATTTGCAATCAGCCAACATGAGTGTATCCAACCTAAGCCTCCTCACCTCCAGACCCGCTGTTGTTAAAGTTTATTTAGTTTTCTTCAGTAGTCAACTGCAGGAGCTGGGAGAAGGGTGGGAGGAGGAAGACAAGGCAAAGTCTATATAAGGGTGGTTTGAAATAGGTTAGTTCTCGCGAGTGTCATAATTTTCTTGCCCACTTGCACCTAAGGCGCAGCAATAATATTAATGTTTCTAAAGTTCCTGTCTTCTATGGAGCTCAAAGACAAATATTTATGTAAGTATTCTCAGCAGTTCTCCAGCATTCAAATAGGGGGTTGAAGTGTATTTTTACTAAGTTGCTCATGTGGATAGGAGATTGGTTTAAATTCACAGAATGTGTCGGTGCAGGAAAGCTGCAAACAGAACTTTGGTTCCTCTTTCATTTATTTTAAACTATATATTTTTTCTAGCTATCCCTCATTTCTAATAAAAGATAACAATTTTCAAAGCTACCATGTCATCAGTAAGAAACATTCTTTCTTCCAGGCTGGGAGTTTTTAAATGAACAAGATGCTGTGATCTGTTACTGATAGTTGTTCTCCCCATTTTAATCATGGATGTGACTGCTAATGACAGTGGTGTGGATGGAGAAGCCAGGATGGAGGGCATTTGGGTTTATTATCAGAAAACTCTGATGTGCTTAACTGTGTCTTGAGGTTATTTTGAAACTGAGTGCCTATTGGCCCTGAAAAATCACACTTAAGTCTTCTTTAAACAATCATTGCAAGGAAACCACTTTGTGCAAAACCTACACTTCAATATTATTTGTAAACTATTCTCTAAAGTAAAACTGTGTCCATTGGGAAAAAAAAGTCAGTGGAAGAAAAAAGCAAGTTCATCACTGATGACATCTACCAGGATTTTCTTTTATTGATAAGCATGATATTTAGGTAATATGGGAGGGAAGAAACTGGTTTATGCTAAATACTCAGCCCATGTTACTGCAGTCAGGCTTTAAACAGCTGTGGTGGGCTTGGTGAGAGTACCGGGCTTGGAATCCAGCTCCTTATTGGAGTGATCTTCAGTATAAAAAAACTCCATGTCCTCACATCTTGGTAAATCTCACTTCTCAGCAGAGAGGCAGCTGGTGCTGTCAGTGACAGTCGCAGGAGAACTGAGGGCTGGCGAAATGCTGAATTAGTCATAGGGCCATCATCCACGAACAGAATCCTGGAGACTCTTTTCTTGATGCTCTTATATTGCATATAAGGTAGTGAGTCCTAATGAGAAGTAATCATTTAAAGCCACGTTTTAAAATCTATACTAAGAGTAATAGCAGTGCCTGACTCCACACCCTTCCCATAAAGGAAATTCCTTTGGGTATCTCATCTGTAAAAAAATACTGACTTTTACCAACTCGAAGTAGACATGCTGGAAAACAGAGGGGAGCAAGAGAACATTTGGAGGTGTGCTTTTCTCCCCAAGCGTAGAA